TCGATACGATATAATAACTGTATAAACAAATATAAAATAGAACGATGTGGACCAATGTTATGCGTTGCGACACAGAATGGTCCCTCGTTCGTGTGCAGACAGTGTGCGTAACACATAGATACGTGGTCCATTGTGCGTAGTCGCTAAAATGCTCTTCTCGCGACCGAATAATGGCGATAATTGTGACGAAATGGAGTGTCATTGTGGGGAAAAAAGGTGCTATAACGATCGAGGATGGCGCAGCGAGTAAGTGGCAGATGCATAGCGTTCGGTTGACAGCTTCTCCGATTTCTTTTCTAGTGTATCGAGTCGAGTTGCTTTCTTTCATCGCTTCCACTCGTATTGTGATCCTTTGGAGCAATTATATAGAGCACTTGAATGATAACTTTTGAGGTTAGGTCGGTGAAAGTGAGATGTTGAGGAGTTTACTAGCACTTACTGTTTGAATTTTACTTGCAGTTCAAATTTTAACAATTGTGAAGAAACAATTACAATAATGAATATAATAATACTATGAGAATGATGATGATAATTTTAACAATTGTGAAGAAACAATTATAATAATAAATCTAATAATACTATGAGAATGATGATGATAATTTTAACATTTCTTAAGAAACAATTACAATAATTGTAATAGTAATACTATGAGAATGATAATGACAATTTTAACAATTGCTAAGAAAAAATTACAGTAATGATTATAATAATACTATGAGAATGATAATGATAATTTTAACAACTGCGAAGAAACAATTATAATAATGAATATAATAATACTATGAGAATGATCATGAGAATTTTAACAATTCTTAAGAAACAATTACAATAATGGTAATAGTAATACTATGAGAATGACCATGATAATTTTAACAATTGTTAAGAAAAAATTACAATAATGAATATAATAATACTATGAGAATGATAATGACAATTTTAACAATTGTGAAAAGAAAGTTACAATAATGGTAATAGTGATACTATAAGAATAATGATAATAATTTTAACAATTGTTAAGAAAAAATTACAATAATGGTAATGGTAATACTATAGGAATGATAATGATAATAGTAGTAATAGTATAAATAGTATTATAAAGACAATAATGATAGTAGTAACATTGGGATAATAGTAATAAACATTGTAATTTTATAGTAATAATAATGGTATTGATGAAGGTAATAGTTATTATGGCAATATGGTAATGGTAATAATAGTCAACATCAAACTACAATAATAGTAATAATAATAATAACAGTGATTATAGTAATAATAACAGTAATACTATAATATTGGCAACAATGTTAATAGCAACAATAGTAGTAGTAATACTGTAATAATAATAATAATGTCCATAGTATAACTATATTAATGGTAATAATAATAATAGTATAACTGTGAAAAATTAGGTAATATTAATAGTAATTCTATGGTAACAATAATAATATTATAGTAACAACAATAATTGTAGTGGCATCAATAATGGTGCAAGTATAGTGACACTAGTAATAATAACATTCATTGTGAAAATATTCAAAAAGACAGTACTGTAAGAGTACTGTTTATAATATAATATAGTAAAGTACACAATAGTTGTATTTTAATAATAATAATAATAATAGCAATGTCATAGATATAACAACAATGATAACAATAATACCATTGTACTAATAATAATAGTAATAGTGATACATTCATGATGGTAATAATATTTATAACTAATACTGCAGCAACAATAAAATTAATATTATTATACAGTAATATAGTACTTGAAATAATGGTACCTCTAATATTAGAGTAATACATGTAACAGTAAAATATGCAAGATCAGTGATTGAATATGTAGAATCTGTGTGTTATTATACTTGGACATTTTACCTTTTACCATCACTCTAAATAATAATTACAAAAGTAACTGCAAGATCCATAATTCAACCTGTAAGATCTGCACCAGTCAGCTATAATCAAATACCTCAAACAGCAAATCAAAAAATCAAAATTTTTCAGCGATATAGTCAACCTATACAGAGATACTTGAAATGAGAATGATCGAGGGTACCATTTCAATTACCATTTCAATTCGCCATGGACAGGGTTGTATACGGCGATTGATACGAATCAACGTTGTATTTCCGTGGACCGGTAGGTAAAAACGGAAGAACCGCGGGAGTAGGGGAGGGTAAAAAAAGGGGGGTGATATACGTAAAGGAGAGGGGAGGTGGAGTTTCGTGGGGGCCGCGGAGGGGCGCGAGGCTGTTATTTGCAATGAAACGCAACAATTGCAATCGGAGTCGATGCACGCCGACAGCGTTCGTAAACGCGCCATATTGCAGCTGGGTCGGCCGGCAAAAATAGTGTTTTTGTGCAAGCCGAAACGGCAGATATGAAACCAGCATGGCGGATGCTTACAAATAGTTGCAGGGCGTCGCCTCCATATAAATGCGACCGGCCGGTCCCGTTTTCTTTTGTTCATCGATCGAGCACTGGCTCGAAAAAGGACTATATGAAAAGAGGGTAGGAACGTCCACGAAATTTCCTCCCCTTTCGATTTTATACGTAGCATTTGATCGTTACTCCTTAGGGATGCTGGGTCAATTAACGGATATGCTTTCTTTTTCGAGCATTTCGTAATACTTAACAAGTTTTGTAATTTGATTTTGTTTTGTACTCTTAGGGTTATGTCTTGAAACACTATGGCACATTATCGTTGTTCAGTTTGATGCAAATGTGGATTGTCATAGTATAGGTATTATTATAGTGTGGATATTATAGTGTTACTATTTTGATAGTATTACTATAACTATAGTATAATAATATTACTATATTACTATAGTATTACTGACATTATTATAGTAGTAGTGTTATTGTTATAGTACTAACATTATCAAGGTATTATTACTGTTATAGTATTGCCACTATAGGAGTATTATTATAGTGTTACTACTTTTATAGTACTACTATTGGTATTATTATAGCAGTCCTTGTTATAGTACTAACATTATCAAGGTATTTTTACTGTTATAGTATTGCCACCACAGGAGTATTATTATAGTGTTACTATTCTTATAGTATTACTATTGGTATTATTATAGTAGTATTGTAATTGTTATAGTACTAACATTATCAAGGTATTATTACTGTTATAATATTAGTACTATAGGAGTATTATTATAGTGTTACTATATTTATGGTATTACTATTGGTATTATTATAGTAGTATTGTTATTGTTACTGTACTTACATTATCAAGGTATTATTACTCTTACAGTATTGCTATTGGTATTATTATAGTAGTATTGTTATTGTTAGTGTCATTGTTATAATACTAACATTATCAAGGTATTATTACTGTTATAGTATTACTACCACTGGAGCATTATGACTGCTATAGTATTAACATTGACAGAGTACTATTACTGGTATAGTATTATTGTTACAATAGTTTCATTATTAATATTATCACATCATCACTACTATCATAGTATCTCCATTATAGTATTACTACCAATAATATTACCATTTCTTTTTAATACCATTAATATAGTATTATTACTATTGCTATACTATTAACATTACCATAGCTACTATCACCAACATATAGTTATAATTACAATATTATAGTATTATAGTATTTCCACAACGTTACTATCATCATAGTACTATCATCATAGTACTTCCAACAAAATAGTATTACCTTACTATTAATATAATAATTTTATTATCACACTATTGCCATTGCCATAATGCTTCATACGAAGACGAAGTAAATTAAGATACTGAAATAACAGATTTTGACAATGCAACTTATGTAAAACGAAAAGTGTCATATCATATCTATACAATCTGTTATATTTAAGCCTTTTATCATATCAGGCAATCATTCACTTTCTGATAAAAGTGTCTGTCTATTAAAATTATTCCAGCTATCTTATTTAAATCTTTCTTTCGCTATTACGCTCTTTCTTGATAAAACTTGATCATGATTTTTTGGATCCGAAAAACCCAGATACCCTATCTATAACAACGTTCAACATTGACCCACCATGTGAATCAAGATAGCTTCTATAATTGGTACCAATTTCATTACATTTATCTTATAACATAAATTTATTGAAATCACAAAACGCCAAAATAACCCAAAAGACCCGACATTTCAAAGAATTCCTTAATCAGACCCAACACGTAAGAAAGGATAAGAACTTGCCATTGCAAAAGCAGCCCATAAATCATCGCAGCAAAAATGAAAATAACTGTATGAATGGTATTCCTACCGCATACGTCATAAGCAGCCAAACCGAAGTATTGCTCGAAATCAGTCAACAAGAACACTACATCGTCCACCGGATTCCCGACACTCGAGGAGGCCGCTATTAACATCGAAGCCGAGTAAACTAGCGCCATTCGTGGAGGGCCGTGTTGGACTGAAGGGCGAGGGGAGTTGGACAGGGAGGGGGACGAGGGGGTAGACGTGTCATCGGTGGTCGTACTATGATATCGAGCTTTGTAGCCGGCTAAGATAAGAGGACAACGCGAACGGTATCCCAGCACCATCACACAAGGCGATGTTACCTACCACATCTAGCCCCACCACATCCCAGCTCAGGTAGATTACGGAATTCAGGATCAATATCCATCGAGGTAGGTGTGGCGTCTGGCAGAGGGTTCCATCTTCGTCCGTCCTCTGTTTGCTTATTGGTCGCAGAACCGGTAGACGTGTTCCTGCTCCGCAGCCTGGGAGCCGTGGATAAACGGGCGGAGCCTGGCCATCCCATGGGACCCGCAGGGAGGGGGAGGGCATCGGTGCTCCTGGCAGACCGAATCGTAAATCATGACCAGTCGGTTGCTCGAAGCGTATCGTGACAAACAGGCCGAAAACCGTTGCCAAACATCGAGCCATTTCGTAATTTCGTTTCGCGTCGATCAGTGCCGATTTTCATCGATGATTTACCGACGCTCGTGAAGTTTCATGTGAAACGTGCGAAATACTGGAACCGAACACGATGTGCAGCAACGAGAGCCCGCCGCCCGCGAAGGAGCCGCTAGCCGTCGGCTTGGGCAACCCCATGGCAGGATTTTTACCGGGACTGGAACATTACCGTCTACAATTGTATCATTACGCGATGGCAGAGAGGTTGAGGTTAGCTCAGCAACTTCACCCTCAGCACCCAGGAGTCGGACACCCGCCTTCGAGTGCTCCTGCTCATCTGGGGATGGGTCCAGGCTTCCCTGCGCCCTTGCCGCTCTACCCCGCGGCCGGCTACCCCAGCAGATTGGCCTTGTCCATGGCTCTTCTGCACCCGCATCATCAACGGATACCCGAAGAGCCCAAACCGCAGCACAGTTACATCGGTCTAATCGCCATGGCCATATTGTCCTCCCCAGAGAAGAAGTTGGTCCTGTCGGACATTTATCAGCACATCCTCGAACACTATCCCTACTTTCGGACCCGTGGACCTGGCTGGAGGAACTCCATCAGACATAATCTCTCCCTGAACGACTGTTTCGTGAAGTCAGGCAGGAGTGCCAACGGCAAGGGCCATTATTGGGCGATCCACCCGGCGAATCTGGAGGACTTCCGGCGCGGGGACTTCAGGAGACGCAAAGCTCAGAGAAAAGTAAGGAGACACATGGGTCTGGCGGTCGACGAAGAGCCCGACAGTCCGAGTCCTCCTCCCTTGCCCGCCACGCCGCCTCCGCCCGCGACCCTGGGGTCCCCAGTGGCCTCGCAACCGATACCGGGGATCTGGACCCCTCATCATCCGCATCATCAGCAACAGCAGCAACAGTTTCAGGGCCAAACGCTGCGGCAGTCCTCGTTCCAGCCGTCCAGGAAGAGGCAGTTCGACGTGGCGTCACTCCTCGCGCCCGACGATCAGCATCAGATCGAATCCGATCTGAGATCCGCCAAGTCGAGGAGGTTCAGCTGTAGCGAGGACGAGCTGCACGACCTCCAGGAGGTCGAGCCCGACGAAGAGGACGTCGACGTGGACGTCGTGGCCGAGACGAACGCTCTGCCGTCCCCTAACACGCCTTCGGCCAGTCCCGAATCCAAGGTCGTGTCACCCGCAGGACACTGGACCAATCAGAGCCTGCAGAACGCGAACGGCCAACAGATACCTGGACTGCATCTTCAGAATCATCTTCAAGTGAGAAGTTACTACGTGCCCGCCAGCTCGACGGGGCCCAGCGTCTAATGGATCCTGTGCGAGTGTTTTGGACTCGACTGGGTCCGTCGGTGGGGACCTTTGGATGGATGTTCGATACGCGGTGCTGGAAATTCGCGTAAGGACGAACCACGTCTCGAAACGGACGGCGACAGTGACAGTTTCCAGGTTGGGGAGTTTTTTGTGCCAAATTGAGAAGACTCGAATGTTGGTATGGTCGAGATATAGCGAGGTCGTAAGGAAACGTGGAGCTGAAGAAGTCCTAAGAGAAAATGATTACGATGTTCGATTAAATGATGAACATGCGCGGGTACCATTTGTGAAGGGTGGTTATGCAGAGACTTCTCTACGCGGTATAGAGGTGATATAATGGGAGACTTTATTACGACCTCGCTATATCGTGACACAGGAACTTTATTGTAGAAGTTGTACATACATTTTGAGAGAGTCCCCTGTTAATTTTTGATCGCTCGTCGGTTCGGAGACGATAAACTTTTCTAGTTCGAAACGGTACGTGAACTCTCGTGTAACACATGTTAGACAAGAACCTAAATATATGTGTACTATATTAAATGAATGTATAAGGAAGATACATACGTGTAGATGGAAGTTTGAGGTTAGAATTCCACCGCGTGCTCGCTGTGTTAACCTTTTACGATAGGTAGGAATTTTAGGGGAACGTGAGTGTAAACCTGAGTCGAAATATAAATTCTATTTTGGTATTCTGAAGTACTTTCATTTTCTTATAAAAATTTTTTTGCATTTCTTGTACAAATTCGCTGTTTTGCATTATTTATTCTGTAATTGCTTTTGCAATTATCAGAAGTCAACAGAAGAAGTCAAAGAAACAGAAATCAAAGTTAAAGTTTATCTTTAAAACAGCAAAATTTTTACACAAATGGAATTAAAAAATTAATTGCAAAATAGCAACGATTTTTTGGTAATTAAGGAAGATATATTGTTACTAAAAATATGCATTATTTCAAAATTTCTGGTAATTAAATTTTTTAATTTCGTTTTTGACCCCAAAGGTTTATATTTGTATGTGTTTTTTACACAGCAAAAATTATTGAAAATATGTAAAAATGTTTATAACCCAGAAAAATTATGAAAATAATTAAATTAATTTTAGAATCAAGCTTTTTGGAAATATGTACTTTCTTGTACAATTATTTACATAATTTATTACATTTTTCAAAATTTAGATTTAATACTGTACAAAAATTTCTTGAATTGTATAAATCAGAACATGATTATATGAATTTTCAAATTTACCTTATTAAGGTTAATAAATTTACCTTATTATAATCTTATTATTTTCAATATCAAGACATAAGTAATTTGAGAAAATTAAATAATCTCCAATTCTTTCATTTTCAAAAATTAAAAATTCTAAAATTTATTAAACAAGGAAACAATTGTATAAATTCTCAAAGTTATACAATTTTATTGTACTTATTATTGAATGACAGCGATTATCTCCACAAATTATCATTAAATTAATGCTCACAATTTTCAAAAATTAAAAATTCAAAAATTTGATGTCTCAGCAAAATGATTATTTAAACTTTGCAAATTGCATAACGATTTTATTATACTTATTAAAAATAACAAGTTATATGATGAAAGAGGCAATTATTCAAATATTTATATTTATATAATAAGTTCATTATTGCAATCAATAGTCAACATAATCTTTTTAAATAATGGAAAAATGATTTTCTATATTCCACATATCAAAACTCTGCAAAGAATTTTGATAAAAAAAGAAGATCATTCAGAACTTGATTTCGGACATTATCAATGAAATTAGTATATTAAAATTTCAATTACGTCAAAATATGTTAAAAATTAAAAAATTAAAAAGTGTGTAAACAGAACCCAGGGGTCAAAAACTTGAAACAATCATAAATGCATCCCTTCAATCTTTCGAATAATTATAACAATAAAATCCAAATGATGAAATATAAATTTCGACTCAGGAAAGGTTAATAGGAGTCCAAATATCGACCTCCGTCGATGTTTCTAATATCGTGCCAATCGTGGTTTTCTATCGTCAAAGTAATTCGTGTAAATAGACCCAAAAAAGCCACGAGATGTAATTTCGTACATTTTTTCTTTCCTCCCGTATGAGAATCGAATATGGGGCATTACATCAGACTGAAGCGAACGAACCTGTTCAAAGTGTAATATAAAATTGTTCGGAGGTTAATTATGACCCGTATCGTTTTCGTATAAACGCGTGCGATATAATCTGTGCGAACTTTCGCCCCCCACCCCGACACCCCATTCTTGTATGTATGTATGTATATGTATGTACGTGCCTACGTATATTTGAGATGTATCAAAAAAAAAAATACACGGTTTTTTAAAGATTACCTCAACAGATATTATCGCAGAAAAAAAAACAGAATACGTGAAAACTGTCTCTTTTGATTCTCAGCATCTCGATGGAATTGAATAAAGTTTCTGTTCCCATGAAAATTATGTTCATTCTTCTCTTTACCTGCCTTTTAACAAATTAGTTAGGTAATTGTCTAGTATAATTCATTATTAAGTAATGCAAACATTGCAATACATTACAATACAATTGCAAACGTGGATTATCGTGTGTGATATTAGAGGGTTGGGTCTGAAGATGAATTTCTGTAATGTTTTGTTTTTTTATGGACAGACATTATTGGTAAAATCAAGTTTGGGAGAATTGTATCTTATTATTTACTGCTATTTATTAATTTTTTATTTGCATACCGTACATTTATTAGGAAGGTTTACAAAGTGTAACTATACATAGTTTGAGGTTGACTTTGAGGTTAACTTTCGACGATTCGTACAAATATGCTTAGGTTAACAAAGAAGCATTTTTTTATTACATAGAATTGAAAACTAAAATTATTTGATTAAAAATATGAAATCTATTTTGAGGTTATCTTTCAACAATTCGTACAAATATTTTTATATTAACAAAGAAGAATTTTTATTTGCTACGTAAGAGGCTTCTTCAAATTAATTACTGTGTAATTATACTTAAAATCCCTTTTTGAACACACTGTGCTTGAAAACTAAAATTATTTGATTTTGAAATATGAGGTCGATTTTGAGGTTAACTTTCGACGATTCATATAAATATTCTTGTATTAACAAAGAAGCATTTTTTTACTTATTACATAGAATCTTTCTTCAAATTAAATTACCCGGTAATTAAAAGTAAAAATTGTATTGATTACAAAGTTGCAAAATTATTGATTATGAAATTGCTTAGTTTAAAATTGAAAATTGTCGAATATTTCATTTTGTGCACACAAAATTTCAAAAACTAAAATTTCATTTGAAATATGAACACCGAAATATTGTGAATGTCCCCTCAAAATGATTTATGCAAAAAGAAGAATATTTAAAAAACCTTGAATTATGAGAATAGGTAACTATTTTATTTCGTCAACAATGATTTTCCTTTTGCAAAAGAAAAATTATTTTATGCAAAAGATTGTTGCTCATCGCAGTTAAAAAGAACTAAATGTAGCCGTTATCTGTCCTCTTTGTATGCTAAAATATTTTGGCATACGATTTTCCGTTTTCTTTATCAAACTCGAAGACTGTCAGAGTTATCTCGAGTGACAAGCTGCGATTTCGAGAACGATTGAAAGTACAATAAGCGAAATGAACGATCGATTAGCGATGACTTCGCAAAAGCATGTAACAGAAATGCCAATCCAACAATATTTTCTTACGTTCGTACATGGAGGAACGAACGCGGTGTCCTGAGGTTTTGAATAACAAATTCACAAGTGACAATTTACGGTACGATGTAGAATATTGTAATAAAAAATCAGCATTTTTTCAGTTGCGATTATTTTCTTTTTTCTGGGTTTGATGAAATTTTTAACAAAAAAAAGTAGTATAGAGTTATTTGTAATTATTGAGAATTGAATTATTAATATTTGACTGATAATTAAATTTGTTAGGTAATTATTACGATAGTTTAGAATTGTTGTTTATTATAATAGTTTAATACTTATTTTCTCAGTAGTATTTTTTAAGTAAATTTAGAAATTATTGTCGAGGAGAGTTGTTCAGAATTTTCATTTCGGATTTTGTATTTATAAATAGTAAATTGTGTGAGTTTTTGAAAATGATCAAGTTTTGTTTTGTGGTATTTTATTGCAAAATTATTGGTTATTAAGTTGATTTGCTTGGAATTGAAAAGTGTGGAATATTTTATTGCAAGGTATAAGTTATTAAATTCTGTCGCTTCGAGATTAGGTATTTTCAAGGTTTTTTATTTCTGAATTAGAAGTTGTGAAATTTTTTGCCTTCAAAATTAGGTTTTGTCAAGGTTTTTTATTTTTAAATTTTAAATTATTAACTTCATTTAGTTTTAAATTATTAATGATCAAATTTTCTCATTTTGACATTAGGTACTGTCAAGGTTTTTCATTTTTAAATTGTAAATTATCAAACTTTAAAATTGTGTATTGTCAATACTGTGCATTTTCAAATTATAAATTGTTAAATTTTTTGTTTGAAAATTAAGTACTGTCGAAGTCTTTTATTTTGAAATTATAAACTGTAGAAATTTTTCATTTCTGAATTATAAATTATTGACTTTCTTTATTTTCAAATTACAAATTATCAAAATCTTTCATTACGAAGTTAGGTATTATCAATATTTTCTTATTTGAAAATTATAAATTATACGAACTTTTTATTTTAAAATTGTAAATTATTGATTTCCTTCAATTTCATTATTAATTTAAAAATAATAAATTATCAAAATCTTTCATTTCTTCATTTCTAAATTGCATACCGTCAATTTTCTTTTTTTTTCAACTCTTAATTTAACAAAATTTCTTGATTTGCTATTTTCAAATTACAAAATTCTTTCTTTTGAAATAACAAATGACCCAAACACTTTATTCGTAAATTAAAAAATATCAAATTCTTCCCCCAATTAAACATTTCATTAATAAATTACAAATTATCACAAACTCTCATCTAAAATTTAAAAATAACAATCGAGTATCACAACACACAAACAACGACAATAACACA